AAAACACATTGGGGCCAGTCCTGATAGGGTTGCCAACTCCAGATGGGAAATTCCTGGAGATTTGAGGGATGGAGCCTGAAGAGGGTGAGGTTTGAGGAGGGGAGGGACCTCAGACAGGTAGAATGCCATAGACTCCACCCTCCAAACCAGTCAGTCCCTCATGGGGAACCATTGTTGCCAATCTCCAGGTGAGGGCTGGAGACCACTCAAAATTACAATTGCTCTGCAGAAGGGAGGGCGGAAGTCAGCTGAAGTCAAAGGGGCAGATAATGGTAGGTTGATGGTTAGCTGGGAAGGAGATGGGGTTGCCAACTCCAGGCTGGCAAATTCCTGGGGATTTGAGGGGTGGAGCCTGGAGAGGGTGGGTTTTGCGGAGGGGTGGGACCTCAGACAGGTAGAATGCCATAGACTCCACCCTCCAAACCAGCCATTTCATCATGGGTAACAATTGTTGCCAATCTCCAGGTGATGACTAGAGATCACTCAAAATTACAACTGCTCTTCAGGTAGCAGAGATCAGTTCCTCCGGAGAAAACAGTGGACTCTGTCATTATACCCTGCTGAGGTCACCACAGCAAACTGACACTGTTTGCCCAAAGCCAGAGCAGTCTCCCAGAGCCTTATTCCTAGTACAGATATAGGAGGACACACCAATATAGCCCAGCAAGACACATCCAGATATACAAGCTACGGTCCTTTGCAGAACATTATATTTAGTTGTGCTGTGTTTTGACTGCCCACTGGGTTAATCAGAGCCCTGTTTTCCAACTGGAAAGGGGGTCTGTCATCTGTCACTCTCCAATGACGCCAGCAGAAGTGGTCTTACACCTGCCACCTATTTTGTATACCAGGGGTCCCCAACCTTTTTGAGCCTGCAGGGACCTGGGAATTCTAACAAAGCTTGTTGGGCACAGCTGCAGAATGGCTCCCACCAAATGGTGGCTTCAGGAGGCGGAGCCAGCCACAAAGTAGCTGCTGCAGCTTACCTTCAATCACAAAGCAAAGATCCCTGTGCTGTGGTGGCAGCTGCTGCCAAAACAACATTTTAAAAAATCTGCCCAACCAATCAAGTCTCCAATGGCCAATCAAAAATCTTACTTGTCAAAAGCTGCACCTGGCCCCGATGACTTTCTAAAAACATCTGGCGGGCTCCAGGAAAGGTGTTGGCAAGCTCCATGGCACCCATTGCCACCACATTGGGGATCCCTATTGTGGAAATTATGCAGGCAAAGATGGCAGGAGAGACCCCTTGAGGGAACGCAGGATTCTGACTATGCTAGCAAATCCTTTTTTTCTCCATTAGCATTTCTCTGACTCCACCCATTTTCCTGCTTTGTGCTACCATTGTCCCACTAGTAGAAGTCTTCCACTGGCAGAATGGTGCTGCCATTTTTATTCTGATAGCTCAAGGAAATGCCACTGTGATTTCTCCAGCAAGTATAACTTTGGGATAAGATTGCACTGTTAATCTCCTTTTTATGAGCCAAGCAATGCTAACTCTTTTCTTAATCTACTTGATCTGCAGGATGTAACATTACCGCCCAGCTTGTTTCTCCAAAGTGTTAGCAATGCCAGCTTTCTGCATTATAAGGCACGCGCTCCCTGCCTCCCAAGCTTCACTCAGCAAGTCTTCCAACATGACAGGCTGTTGGAAAGCCGGGCACTTGAAAGCAGGAAGAATAATGCATTTGCTGTTACAGGGTGTTATGACTGTTTTCACCGAATTGTGTTCTTATGCGGAAAAGGTGGTGAAACTTTTCATTCCCAAGAAGACAAAATCTCTTAGTGGAGAGATTGTTCTGATTACTGGAGCTGCCCATGGACTTGGAAGGGGAACAGCGTATGCGTTTTCCAAGCACGGATGCAAATTGGTTCTTTGGGATATCAATAAGGTATGTGTAGAATGTCTGTCCCCTTAAGGCTCACCTGGTACCTACCTTTCTTCCTTCTAGGAGCCAGTCCAAAACATCTCTTTTTAAAATTCAGGCTTGTAACTAAGTGCTTGCAGCCTTTTTTTTTTTTTAAAGCTACGTCTATGGTGCTTCTAGCTGAGGACTGTTTTAAGAACACCATTTCTGTGCCCTGGCATAGCTTGTATGGCTTGCTGTTATGCTGCTGATTTGATTATTTAACTCTATGGTTTGCCTTAAAAGGGCACTAAAACAGCTTGGTACCTATTGTGATTCTAACTTATTAGAAATCAACTATCAGAAGACCAAAGTGATGTCCTTTCGAAAGAGGCCCAAATTAAGGACGTGGAGCATAAAGGGCCATAGCCTAGAGCAGGTTTTATCTTTCAAATATGTAGGGGTCATGTTTCAATCTACAGGGCCAAGAAATGACCATCATGAATTTGTGGCAAATAGGGAACGGAAGACCACAACTAGTATTATCAAATTTCTTTCAACAAAAGGGGGGTCATTTTATACCAGTCGGTCTTAAACTATACTCAGCTAAAACAATACCACAGTTGCTATATGGCACTATGCTGGGCCCACCCTCCTCAAGTTTTGCACCCCTGGAAAAGATACAGTCTAAATTTTTAAGATCTATTTTTCGTTTCTCAACTAGTGCTTCCAACGCCAGTTTATGACTAGAAACTGGGCTGATCAGATTGGAGGCCAAGATAACTTTGGCCTCCATAAATGCTTGGCTAAGGTTATGCCATAGACCATCTGATATCACTGGCTTAGTGCTGTACACCATAAGAT